CAGACCAGCAGCCAGTGGAGATTTGTATGTTAATAAAAAAGGTGTCAAATATTCTGTGGATGTGTTAATATTTAAATCTGTGACTAATGGCAGTAACAAGTACTTGTGAAGTACAGATGGGGATAAAGTGAACACGAGTATCATTTGTATTCTTCTTGATCGTCGCTGATTCGTTACTCATGTATATCTGTTATAAATCTAAATTTATCACTGAACATCTATTCTTAATTATTCACATCTGTGCATCTCATTTGTTTATCTCCGCAGGTGTGGCCACTGTCAAAGTCTTGCTTCCGATTGGAAGAAGGCGGCAACAGCCCTCAAGGTAAACAAATCATCTTCCTCTTATGAGTTGTTATTTTTAGATAAAAGGAAGTACCACTAAGATCAGTGAGGTGTGACAAGCATGTGAAGAAGAAAAATAAAAAACGAATGAAACAGTTTTCATGATATTTTGTGGAGGGGTGGGGAATGACCCGACGGAGAACCCGTTACATTTTGAATAGATCCAGATAAACGAGCAGATTTTTTCTTTTTGTTCATTTACTTTCAAGTTAGGGGCGTTAACCTTGGCAGAGGTTTGCAATCTCTGAGCACCCTTCAGCTTTTATCTGAACTCCACTGTAGTCCTAACTCACTCATCTATCTGTCAGAACCACTGTAAGAGTTCAAACGGGCATTAAGAGAAAATATATTTTACTGTAATTAAATGTTGAGAGTGAAAAACCACTCACCTGTTTGTCCTGGAATTCTTCAGGGAATTGTCAAGATTGGTGCCGTGGACGCAGATCAGCACAAGTCACTGGGCGGACAGTACGGCGTCAGAGGGTTCCCCACCATCAAGATCTTCGGAGCCAATAAGAACAAGCCAGATGAGTACCAAGGTACAGACGGAAGCCATGCAGCCTCTCCCCCGTATTGTTTTTATTTCATGTCTTTTTGAAAACCTTCAGAATGTTTTAGGGTTCTGTAATGAAATGATGTTTTTGGTAGCAGTGACTGAACTCTGCATGTCTGTCACCCCTCAGGTGGACGCAGTAGCCAGGCCATTGTGGACGGAGCCATGAACTCTTTGCGGAGTCTTGTGAAAGAGCGGCTGAGCGGCAAATCCGGCAGCTCCGGCTACAACAAACAGGTAGATTCAGCAGCGCACCGTGCGGTAGCTTTTAATCTGTTTGAAACTGTGAAGTTGGTCAAGTCACGCTCAACTGCTTTCTAGCAGAGCGGCGGTGGCGGCAGCGGCGCCGGCAACAAGGAGGATGTAGTGGAGCTCACGGACGACAACTTTGACAAGATGGTGCTGGAAAGTGACGATGTGTGGTTGGTGGAGTTCTTCGCCCCCTGGTGTGGACACTGCAAGAAGTAAGTTTGGTTCAAATCCACATATCACAGTACAGCAGAGGTTTGCTGCTCCGAACACTGAAAAGTGATGTTTGAAAGACTAATAACAGTTCTGTGGATTATCCTCACAGACCTTGGTGAATAAATGAGTAATGCCCATTAAGACCGTTCACACGTCTCAGCTGTTGTGTTCCAAATTCATTTGATTTATCAGGCTTTCCTCTTCCAGCCTCATATTATTAGAGGTGGAATTAAACTCTGAGTGCACTGCACAGTTTTTCTCAACCATCGCTCTCTTCTGTTGTCGACAGCCTGGAGCCTGAGTGGGCGGCTGCAGCCACAGCTGTGAAGGAGCAGACCAAGGGCAGAGTTCGCCTCGGAGCTATGGATGCGACTGTTCACCAGGCTGTGTCCGGCCGCTATGGGGTAAGTAAGACAAGAAATGATGTGGTACATGGATACACGACTCAGATACTAACTACTGCACTTGTACATGCAGAATAAGTGAAGTAGCACTGCAAAATCGAAGTAAAACATTTGAGATTAAACTAAATTTAAAGCAACACTATGCAACGTTCACTGAGCAACAGCGCCCCCTGCAGCCACACGTTCTGTTGGGCTCTGTGTCCAAGCTATCAAGTGGTTTTCGTGTGGAGAAAAAAAACAAAGCTTATCAATGTGTTGATGTGAATGCGTAGTGCCACTCACTGAACTGACACACAGCTGACCTGTGGATATTACCCATGATCCTCGGCTTCCTGAACCAAACTCTGGTTAGAATTTTTATATTTTAAAAGTTTCCTGGAGATAAACGCTGGTTTTTAATGACTTGGAAGTAACTGATCTACACTTCAACTTTACTCTTCAACCCACCGGACCTGTTTGTGAGATCCTACCCGCTCACCAACGTCACAGAGAACAAGAACATAGTGTTGCGTTAAATACTCAAACCACTGGCATTTAAGCGTTGGCACAAGAAGTTATATCTTTTTCATTGTGCGTCTCAAACCTGTAATGATTGTGGTCTGTTGTTATTCAACTCTCCTTACTGGTGCTGGAGACCAGATCAGAGGCTCTACAGCTTTTTAGCAAGAGATTAGTGTTAACTGTTGACCATCCAGATTAAGATGTAATGTAGATGGATGAAGTAAAACCAACTTTCTTCAAATCAACTTGCTCTGCTGCTGCAGCTCGTAGGTCTGACTCTGTGCATGTAGCTGCAGCTTCTTTTATGTTGCAGTCACATAAAGAAAAGCACAAAGTTAATGATCCACAGCAAAGTCTTTAATGAGATCCCTTTAAAGATTTCTATATGTTTGAAGCCCTCAAACACCAAGACTGTCTCCAGAAACCTTTATTACAGTTACATAACCGCTTTTAATATTACAGCTGAAGTCCTGCCATTAGAAGAAATATCACATTAAATAAATATATGTATCTGTCCTTTACTCAATACCTAATTGAAAATGTTTTGGTGTGTGTAGATCCGTGGGTTTCCCACCATCAAGATTTTCCGCAAAGGCGACGAGCCGGAGGACTACCAAGGAGGCCGCTCCCGTGGCGACATCATCGAGAGAGCCTTGGATCTGTTCTCTGACAACGCTCCTCCTCCTGAAACGCTGGAGGTCAGTGCAGCAGAGTGTTTGTATTATTGGATGCACGTGCGAAGGTTTATAGATCACGAAGTTGGTCAAGCACAAAGCAGTGATCTGGCATGTACCCAGAAAATGTCTGGACAATTGGGTCCAGACATTTTCCAGACTTTCACATTTGAAGAGAGATGAGATGAGATTGTCCGACACGTTCACAACAACAGGAAATTGTCCAGAACATTAAGACGAGGGGTTCAGCCTGAAAGGAAGGACATGACGTACAGATATTTTTAGGTTTGAACAAATTGACACCGGCGTCGGTTGTTATCGCCAAAATCTCTGGAATCTTGTCTTTCCAAGTTGTCATCTTTGTCGGCGTCTTCTAAGTCGTAACTCGTCACACTTCCACCTAACACTGAAACTTCAGTAACAAACGTCTTAAGGACATTATCCAACGGCAATTACTGTGTGCTGAAGTGTCAAAAATGGCATCTCATGACAAATCTGTATTTAACCTTAATGAGTATCTTGAGTCAGATCAAATGGAAATTGTAAGTTAATTTTACATTTATATCTCAGATTCTCGGTGAAGACATCTTGAAGAAGACGTGTGAGGACAGTCAGTTGTGTATAATTGCTGTCCTGCCTCACATCCTGGACACAGGTGAGACCAGACACGCCTCCCACTCTGTTGTCAATATTTCAGAAATATAACAAATTAAACCGAGAAGGAAAAACACAAATGAGATGTGAGACCCTTTTTTTAAATTGTTGAATCGCTCACCATCCACGTTCCTTGTTTCTCTACAGGTGCAGCTGGTAGAAACGGTTATCTGGAGGTGATGGTAAAGATGGCTGACAAGTACAAGAAGAAGATGTGGGGGTAAGGATGAGCATGGATTATTATTATGATTATTATTATTATTACTTTAATTATTCTAACGACCCTGCTCTGCCTTCGTCAGCTGGCTGTGGACTGAGGCAGGAGCTCAGATGGACCTGGAGGCCTCTCTGGGTATTGGTGGATTTGGCTACCCTGCCATGGCCGCCATCAACACACGCAAGATGAAGTTTGCTCTGCTGAGGGGCTCCTTCAGTGAGACTGGCATTCATGAGTTCCTCAGGTAGAGGGCGCTGTTGTCTGAGTCTTTTTACACTGTAGCAACGTAATGTAAAACAGATCTCAAGCGTAGGCTGAATGACGAAGTTCACTCGTTTCGTGCTCTCCTCAGGGAGCTCTCTGTGGGCCGCGGCTCTACCGCCACGCTGGGAGGCGGCGTCATGCCCAAGATTCACGCTGTTGAACCCTGGGACGGCAAAGACGGACAGGTGAGTGGGAGGATCACACCTGCCTCGTGGTTTCTCTCAGAGCAGTGTGAAATGAAAAGCAAGCCGTTCTCTGTTCTGTTCCTCGGGTGTTCTTTTCAGATCTGTAGTTATTTGTCTCACTTCAGGAAGACTCTTACAGACAGATCATGTTAAAAGTACAAACGATGGAAGAATGTTGGGTTTCTGCAAACAGATCAGATTTACTAACTGTCTCTATTCTACACTCTTCGTCTTCTCCAGCTTCCTGTGGAAGAGGACTACGACCTCAGTGACATAGACCTAGATGACGACTTTGAGAAGGATGAGTTATGAGTCCAAAATGGGGCGGGATCTGATCCAGACCGGCTTCGTTGGGTCTGGTCGGGTCCTGCGTGACCCACCTCCCCTCTCCTGTGGACGAGCGGGAGGCCCGGTCGCCCAGTTACTGAAATGCTCCAGAAAAGACACATGAGAGACACCTGCAGTGTCTCAACAACATCTCTGTCAGTCACACGGGGACAGGAGGAAGATGAGGGGGTGAAGTTGTCATGTCCCTGAAGTGAACTCGTGTACCTGCTGAACTGAAGAGGCTGAATATTTATATGACCGCCACCCTCTGAGAGGAGGAGTGAGGAGGTTCCAGATGTGGCATCTCAGTTATTCAAGCGTCAAACATTGTCCCTTCTTCACGCACCTACTGTAGGATGTCTACTTGTCAAAAACACTTCAATGTCCAGTCTGGTGTTTTCTAAATATACCTTTTTTTTTTTCTCTCTCTTTTCAAATCAGTGAATGTTGAGAATCTTAGTGGGTTTGCACCGTGTCTGTCCCAGACAAGGGAATACTGTGGGAATTCTTGTGTATATTTTTCTTACACGACTTTATTTCAATTGTGTGAAAACAAAATGACATTTTGTTACAAAAATAAAAAGGAATAAAAACAATCACGGGGCTTCCTTATTCACGTAAACTGGTACAACATCAGAAAACACGTATCACTGAGCGCATGCAAATACCGAAGGCATATAGAGCTTGTTCAGAACAGCGACTTGTTAACTGACTGTCGATATCACGAACAACCGTGAGCCAACGCGGTTTAGTCCAATCAAATTAAACCAACTGACGTGATTAGGTTCTTCTTCATGAAACGTAACGGGAGTAATAATACTTGCAATTATATAATCCAGTCAGTATAAATATATATGGCACGGCAAGGCGGGGGAGGGGGGAAAAGCTTATACACAGGATCAAGTTCAATGTCCACAGAGACAAGAAAAATCAATTATCCATTCATGTAAACATTAAGACAGTGGAGTGTAGATAATATGAAAGGGTTGTGTGGTGACGACCGAGCAGCATGAAGCTGGAATGATGTGTGTGTGTGTGTGTGTGTGTTAATGTCTCTGCCCTCAGAACTGACGAGAGGCTCCCTGATCGGACTGCAGCAGTCTGACGATGGACGGGTCGCTCTTGGCACCTTTAATAAACTCCTCCAACGACAATCTACCTGTGGAGCAGAGACCAAGAGAGAGAATCATGAGGTGACCATACGCATTTCTTAAATTAAAATAAACTTACATTAACCTTGTTGATGACTGAGAAGTTTATGTTACTCAAACCTGTCCGGTCACATCAACCAGCAGATGGTGTCATTGTGCCATTAAATCTGTTTCACAAATTCTGTCAGTGAATTGATGAACACACGAACACGAACAACTGAGCAGCTCTTTCTTTTAAAAGAGGTTATTTCAAGAATCTTATGTAACGACAGTAACTGATGCCAACACCGAAAAGTGGTTATAAGAATATTTTTTAAAAGTCGGTAGCTAGGCATCACTCTAATATTCATGAAAAGACAAAAAACAACTATTGCCTCTATTTGAACACTTTTTTCTAACTAAATATTTCGATAGATAATGTATTAAAAAGCATTTTATGGTATTAAAAAATATTTAATCTTTAAGTAGTTATTACTATGAAATGTGCTTCTCTTGAGTACTGACATATTGATTATTTTGATAATGATCGCCATCACCAGCAGAGTCCATCTACTGCTCAATTTTAATATTAAATACATGACTCTTCTGTTTTATTTTACAATTTCTAATCAACCGAAGATAAAAACTAACTGAAACCAGCACAAGTAGCGAATGTTGAAAATGTCCCTGCGGCTTCATGTGAGTTTGGACCTTCTGTTTTTCTGTCGGTCAGCATCTGTTTACGTTGCATCAGAAGTGGAGGTTAACTGGGTCTGTGGAACCACGTGACGTTAGTCAACCTGAGCCAGAGACACTCAGTCTGACCTTCAGACTTTCTGAACCTCCTGCTTCAAAACATCCTGATCTGCTTCACGCTCTAAATACGGAGCCGGGACACGTCCGATAGATTCAGGTCAGGGAGACGTGGGAAATGCTTCAGTTCGTTTTGTTTATGATATTTCTCCTTAACATCCTCCACATGAAATTCAAAGTGAACACTGATCTCACCATCGTTATCGATGTCCATCTGTCTGAAGATCTTATCTGTCCTCTTCTCTGGTGTCGACTCATCCTCAGGCATCTTCATCACTGACGACACCATCTTATAAATTGCCTGCAAATGACATTTATTAAGAAATGAGAATTCTGAATGTTCTTGTTCATCTGTGTGAAGCTCTCAGGCGTCACGGATGAAAAATTGCTGCTGCTGTTGCACTCGCTGTTCAATTCTCTCCACAGAGCTTTTTTTTTTTTCCGCATTCATTTGTATCCACAAACACAGCGGACTGAGCCAATATTGATATGGCCCTGCAGGCTGCTCAGCTCACCATATTGGAAGAGTAAATATAGCCAGGGTGATAAGAAAAGAGAAAGGGCAGCCTGCATTCATGACGCCAGGTGAAAACATTTTATGAATTCAGGCAAAAAAAAAAGTATTAAAGCCACATTGAAGGAAAAAACATTTAAGAATAAGGTTGTAAGATTACGATAATAAAGCCATAATATTATGAATATAATATAATATTGGATATAAATTCTTAAAACAATGAGAATAAAGTTATAATATCATGATAATAAAGTGGTAGTATTTAGTCATAATGTTATGATATTATTACTGTAATAAAGTTTTAATTGTAGTAATATTTATTCTGTACTGTACTCTCAAAATATTATGACTTTATGATCAAAATGTTTCCCTCTGAATGGCCCTAATGCTCAAACATAAGTTACAATCTGTAGAACAAGTGATGCATTAGATTATTTTAAGTTTCATATTTTATTAACGTAAACTCTGAGAGAAATGTGATAAGATAAATTTACTTCAGGATTCCAACAGAAAAAATATTGAAATTTACAAAAGTACCATGTACATGATCTTGATCTAAGATTAAAGCCTGTGTTAATATCACATTTAATTAAGAGGAAGCAGATAATGATGGAATCCATGAAAACCTGCTCATTCAGTTCACGTCCTCACCTGAACTATCTCCAGCATCTCTGCTCGGCTTATGTATCCGTTTCCATCCAGGTCGTACATGCTAAAGGCCCAGCGCAGCTTCTGCTCCAGTCCGCCGCGAGACGTCACGCTCAGGGCGATGATGAACTCCCTGAAGTCGATGGTGGCATCGCCGTTGGTGTCGAACGTGCGAAAGACGTGCTCGGCGAACTTTGAGGCGTCGCCGTAGGGGAAGAAGTTGGCGTAAATCTTCTTGAACTCCTCCACGGTGAGGTGGCCGGTGGGACAGTCCTTGAGGAAGCCTCGGTACCACTCCTGCAGCTCGTGGTCGGTGAACTCTGTGTTTTCTCTCAGGTCGTTCAGGACCTCGGGCCTCAGCTTGCTGTTCTGTTTCCCCATGTCACAGCTCTCTCTCTCTCTCTGCAGGCTGATGGGTCGGTTGGCGTCTCTACCTTCTCCTTTCACTCCCTCTGTGTTCTCACTCTCCACGTCGACGGCTGCTCGGCTTCCTCCGCTCCTGCAGGAGACCAACAACCCTCATTAATATCCTTGTGTGAAAATCATAAATGATTCATCGGTTCAATATTTCCCCTCAGTTTGCTGCAGTGTTTTCTCAGGGAACATGTGCTGAAGATGCTTCTTAGAGACGACAAAAAATGGACAGTCGGGACGATACAGAGGGAAAAAGGATGACATTAGGACTCAGGTGTCATGAGGACAATGTGTGTGTGTCTCTGTGGCACAGCCAGAATTTATCAACCCCTCATTGCGAGGAGGAGAGACAAGTGTCCTGGGGCCTTGTAATTATCAATAGAGCTACTTTCTGAAAGGTCAGGTTGATACTGTCTGTTGTTACTGAGAAGGCCAGATATTCACCTCCATCATAGTTCCCACAATAAAATGGACGCTGTAATTGATTCCAAGCAAGTGGGGTTCATGCACTGATAAAAGAAAAACACAAAAGATGGCTTAAAAAATACCACACGCAAACACAGACAAACCACCTGGGCCTATTCACCTTTGGTTTCTGTGGTTTGTCTCAGTGCTTGTTTCCATGGTTATATCCTGCAAAATTGGGTTTATTCATGTATGCAGGGGCATTCGTGACCCTGGATATGAGGATGCATTAACACAGCGCATCCACAATTAAGCTGTAACAGCACAATAACTATTAGACGGGACGCTTTGTGCATGCAACCCACTGATGAAGTAGAGGTAAACATGTGTTAGGAAGTAAAAGGTTGAGACACCTGCAAGGAAAATACATATGTGTGCGTGTGTTTTCAATTAGAACATGTAAAATCCAACAGTAACATCCTCTCAAACATTTTTGTCATTCTGCTTTTCATGAGGTTCGAGCGCAGCGTTACCTTTAAATTTAGATGAATCACTGAAGTAAAACATGAAAACTAATGTGAAAAGCAAATGAAAGCATTCTTCTGTTTTTTGTGATCTTTGGAAGAAATCGACCAGAACCTGGGTTGATCTTTTACCACATGTATCTGGCAAAGTGGGAGTGGGAGGGACAGAGAGAAAGAGAGATATGTGCGGGGGTAGGGAGGAAGAAAGAACGGGAAAAAGTATGACACATAGAAAGAAAAACTATTTCCAGCTATACTATGTGAGCTGCTTTTCTAATACCAGCGGTTCAATTACATAATAATCCTTCTGAATAACACCTCCACTGCTCGGAGTCACCGATAATGAATTTATGGAAGAGAGAGAGAGAGAGAGAGAGATGTATTATCCCTATGTTCTCTTTCTTTCAATTATTGAAATCTCATCGCTCTCTTTGTGTTATTGGCCCCGGGGCGATTCTATCTGGCGTAGAACAAAGGAGAGAGAGTGAGAATCTGAATGGGGTCTTTTCTACACACTGATGCTCCCGTTTTCTATTTGTTGCGCCGGTGTAATTTCCTGGAGTTTCATGAGTCAACGTCACAGAGTAACGTGAGAGGCAGGTTTGAGAAACATCTTTAAAAAATCTGGGCAAACCAGACGCATAATACATTAATGCAGTTCAGTTGTCACGTTTGAATTGGTTTGAAAAACACTTCACTGTGGATCACGGTGCAGCCAACCACCGGTTGGCGATAAAGATGCTTTGGCTTCATTATTTTTTTAGTTTCAGTTTTATATACATTCCTTCTTTAACATTTGGCCTCTGATGTGAAACAGGTCTGAAGCCCCGAACGAATGAAAGGACCTGAAAACTCTGGCAGCCAGACAATGTCAAGCTTTATGAACAGAGATCCAGATGTTACTGGTGTGATGTTCAGGTCATCCCTGACTGCACCTCCACCTCTGGAGGGAGAAGCCATGAACAAAGAATGGCTGGAACCTTTAGTAGCTGAAAATATCAGTAGTCCAACATATAGTGTAGATGGGCGATTAGCTTTGATACTAGCGCAGCATGGTCGTAAAATATTCTTATATAGGAGACGTATTAAAATGAAGTAAATCACAGACAAGCTGCAGAAAGAAAATGTCAGATCTTGTATGAATTATATTTAACATCTGATGTTTCAAACAGCTTTTTTCAAGAGAAAGAGTAAAAACATATGAACAAAGTTTTCGTCATCAAATCACACCTGATACTTATCACTCAGTCTATCAGGATGTTGTAAATGCATCTGCAGACTGTTCTAGTGAGTGGTTCTGCCATGAGTGATGACTTATTGTAGTTATATTGTCTCTCTATACTGTCTTATTGTGTTATACTATGTTTTTAATACTGGCTTATTGTTATAAACAGTATTATTATACAGTCTTATTGTTTAATACTGTTTCGTAACGTCATCATGCTGTCGACACGTGATTCACTTTGTTGCAAGGGCACTTTGAAAAATCTTGCACAAATATGAAAGTGAGTGCAACTGTCAAATGTTTTCTCCGGTCATCATGGTAACGTTTGCTAACGGGAACTAAACACAAAAGCAACCGAGGCTGATGGGAGTTAACCTCATGATGGCACCGGAGGAAAGTCCCTAGATAACCCAGGACAGTCGGCCGTGTCCTCTGGAGACGGTGAACGTCTCCACAACAGGAAGATGTTGAGATATTTAACTTGATCTGCGAGGTCAGTAGGATTCATCATCACCGTGAATGTCTGAATCAAAGGGGGGGCAATTAACCGACAGACGTGCACAGACCAGTGGTGTTAGCAGGGCTAAAAATAGATTTATACAAATTATTATGGCTGAAACTAGAGCAAATCTCACATTGTAGGATTTTGTGTGTTTGCCTTTTTATCTAACAAACCTCTGAATGATACAGAGCAGGACCCACTAGAACAAGTGTAAGGCTCAATGTGACAGTGAATCATCATCGTCTGCTGACTACGTTTTCACTTGGCTATGGGATAAATCACACACCGCCCTGAAGGCACAACCGGAGTCCTTCCGCTCTAACATGCAACAGGATGAGGAAGTGACAGCAGCTCCTCAGCTCCACGGTCACATGGACTTTTCCAGGACAGCTCAGTGCAGGCTGAGCTGGAGCAGACATAAATATGGGCGTTGCTATTTATTCCCTCAAACACACGAAGCCACAAAAAACTCCAGAAGATTCCAGGCTGAAATAAGTGCCACCCTAACATTTCAAGAAGCCGTGAAGCTAATTAAAGAGTTTATTTCTAAGCAGAGAGCAAGTGACCACTGAAATATGCTCATTAAACCCTAAAACTAAACTAGACTCCTCGTCAAAGGTGTGATGCAATAAAGGCGTTGGTATTGTAACGCAGTCTTTAAGGAAAACAGGGAGAGGATCACACACTTTTAGGGCATTTGATAAAACTTATTCATAGATGCAAATACTTAATAATCACATACGACATATTGCTGCGAGAAAATAGCCAAATTGTTTGTTTTAAATCACGTCTCATTGAGTATCCAGCGTCATTAGTGTTATGTTATTCCATTTGTGCTTGTAAAAAGTCAGCATTTGAGATTTCACAGGATGTTTTATGTGTTTTCACAGCTGGAGCCTTTCCGTGACCTATTCTGGTGGATTTTAAGTTGCTTCACTTTTTGCAATGTGTTCAGAAATAACTCTGAGTCACTGCTCTGACGTCCCTGTGACCTCCTCTGCGGAGAGAACCACGCTCTCGCTGCCTTGAATTGCAGAGAAACTTGCCGTAGAAGTTCATAAGCTGCGAACACACAGTTCGCGCACGTTGCTTCATACGCAACAGCCCCTCGAGACTGCCATTCCGCATTCTGCGTTTGCAATTCCCCCTGATTCCACAACAACAGTCTCTGTCCCTTTTCCCCTTTTTCTGTAGAGTCCACTTTTTCCACTGGGCTCCTGCTCTCCTAATGAGACCAAGCATCCCCCTCCCCAAAGCTACGATGGGGACTGTGTAAACCCATGAACAGGCCACTTTCACTGCTGTTCTCAGGCCCACCTCATTTCCTGGGTAATGGCTTGTCATAACAAAGAAAGCCTTTCTTCTTTTCCCAGATGCTCATTACTTTGTGTATGGGGAAGATGGAATTCCAAAAGGAGAGGTGAAGGGTGTGTGTGTGTGTGTCTGAACGCATACAAGCACACAAAGTTTACACCCAAGTGTTTAAACAAATCATTTGCAAAGAAATTGAAAATTGATGGACAGCAATTTTTTTAAGCAGCACTGGTTCCAGCTCACAGAACCTTTCCCATCGTCAACGCTTTGTAAACAAGACAGAAAATACTTTCCGCCGTGTCAGTGTTGTGCCTCTTTTGAATGAAAGGTAAATGAAACAAATTGATGTGGTTGGTTGCACACAGTATGACAGCAGACTTCCCCATGGCGCACTCGCTGGCTGCAGCCTCGAGTACCGTGCACTACTGGTGTAACCACCACAGCATCAGGTGGGTGAGGAGTCAGGCTGGTGTTCGAGGAGGAGACAGAAAATGAGCTCTCCAGTTATTCCTCGCTCGCAGCGCTGCTTCATAGCAGTTTCTCTGAACTGGTGTCAGAGAACATCGTGCACTGGATCAGGATGAAGTCCCCTGACACGCCAGTAGTCAAGGCAACAGAATAGCACTAAGGTTTATGAGAGGGAGGCAATGTTACCATCAATCTGGGGCGAGAACAGGGCAGCAGATTTATCAACACTCTAGAGAAACAACTGCATTTTTTATGTGCGTGTTTAAAATGCAGTTTGATCTCAAACAGTGATTTTCTTCTTCTGTTCATGCTGTTTAGCATCATACTTGATATTGTGACGTGTACACCGTGTTATATTTTGTATTCTAGATGTAACTCATGGGAATAAAAGCTAAACGTTTACAACCTTTTTTTGTTTGTTGTATGTTTTTCACCCATTTGGCTTAAATTTGACATGATGGCTTTGGTCTAATTATTTACACAACACTGCAGTGTATTTGTTTTAATTAGACAGCTGGATTAACAATTGTGGCAAGACACAAAGTTTGAAGGGTCCCATCACAAGTTCATTCATACTCTAGAGTCGCCACAACATTTACTATATATGGTATCTTATCTTTAAAACTAAATATTAGTTTATTGACCGTATAAACATTGTACAAGCAATATGATTTATATTCTCATTATAATAAGGCATCATGTTGTGATTACATGAATATAAATTATCATATTCCTGAGTAATTCAGAGTAATTTATTTTGGGGGAAAGATGAATTTGTTCAAATCTGGATCAGAACTAAACAAATTCAGTCCCACAGCAACCATCAGTCACTTTTAGATCACTATAATGTTAATTAGGGTTTGAGTCAGTTTTATTTATGAATGTTTAGTTTAGATTAGTTTTTTAAAAACACAACATATATACCATTAACCTAAGTAACAGTAATAATCAGAGATGGATGTCAGGATTTGATGGTGATTCATGACCTGCTCCTAAAGGAAAATATAAATACTGTGATAATGATGTATATAATATTTGCTCAGCCTGTGTTTACAGTGTGTGACATGTAGGCTCGTCTTTATGGGTGTAGCCCTTCTTCCCCCTCCTCTGTCTTGGGGACACTAACTGGACAAAACTTGTCACCTTAGTATTTTTAAGTCTTATTTCTAATTTAATTAAAAGTTAAAGAAAACTCACCTCTTTCAGGAATAAAAGCTTGTTTAAGGGGAAAGTCCACTCCTCCTCTCCAAAACTTCAGTCTGAACTTCTCACCTCCTCCAAACTCAAACTCCAGGGTGGTTTAAGAACTCAAGATGTCTGACAGAAGGGAAATAAAACACGTGTGGTTTTATCAGAAAGGTAGAAGTGTTGTTTTTGACAGAAAGCCTCTTGTTTGGTCGCTGCAGCCTCCACCTCTGTGCGTAAAGGTTTTTTATCATCAGTGGAAGATGTGGCACACAGCTCGGTTTTCATCCGACTCCACCAAGTGTGAACTACAGGGGTTTGACTCAGTGTTTGAAAGCGATTACACTTATTATTTTGACTTCCGGACACATGGATTCAAATTGCAACGACTTCAGGGCGACAGATAGCGTCAGAAAGAAACGTATCCTGGATTTAAAGAAGGTTTTATCAAGATTTACCGACTTGGGAGTGAGGTTTTGTGTTTCAGCCCCACCCCCCTGCAAGTCGAATGGTTCCGTCCACACTCGACTTCCATCGTAGGAACAGTCGCAGCAGCGTCCTGTGGAAAATGATCACTGGAGACTATTATTAGCTCCATATCTAAAATAAACTTCACATTTGAGGGAAAATCTGGATACTAGACGATGCATTTCACCGACTGAAGCAAACATACACGCTATCATGCATTAATCAATTAAAACAACTGTCTTTCTATATTAGATTTTTAGATAAAACAATGCAATTATACGATAAAATACACTTCGTACTACAGTATACTGTAAATACATGCTTTAATGGCACATTTCTATTAATACGATGCCCTAACGATACATGAAATCATTAAATCAGCTTTGAGAAAATACGTTTTCTTGTTTTAATACAATATCTAAAATAAATTGTTCATTTTTGAGGGAAAATCTTGATGCATTCACCGACTGACCCAAACACGTTATTCTACATACAATTTTAGATAAAACAAAACATATTATAGTTTAAAATTCAGAATTTATTTATTATTTTCATAAATAACTGCTTTAATTGCATTTGTCTACAACGTATTATTGGGATGCCAACATACATAAAATCAACACAAACAAATATTGATATTTGAACATCAATATTAAAATACAGCGCTGGAATATTCAAGAAAATGTTTACTTGTTGAGACCTCATTCTTATGATGTTTTAAATTTGAACCTAAAAACTACCCTAAGATATTGAATCCATCCCATGAGTCCCTCTGATGTCGTGAGACAAGCTGCACTGGAGAGCGGTGGTATTACACAATCAGGTTATAACCCATTTTCATCTATTTTCCCACCATGACTCTTCTCACTGAAGATGTGCACTCGTCCGTCAGCACCTGTCACACTAACTTCTCTTATGTTGGCTAAAGTGACACTGCGGGGAGGGCGGTGTGTATGTCAGCATTTCAGCGAGTGGATAAATAATTAACTCTGTGTGTGTGTATGTGTGTGTGCGTGTCTTCCTGAAGCCTGACACCTGTTCCTATAAGCACATGGAGTGTTTATCTCTGCCTAAGAGTGAGTACAATACAGACGAGGAGGGGAGGAGGGGTTCATGGCAGTGATAAAGCACTCTGAGGTTGCTTTTGTTGCTTTTGTCAAGTTGCAACTGAACACTGACACAGGCCTGTTGTTGAGTCATACGGATAAAAAGCATCAGTGTGACTCTTTTATGAAAGTATTATGGTATACTTTACATTTTCCATTTACCACAAAAACAAAACATAGCTTATGATGTGGCTGCAGGTCTGATTATTGCAAATGATGTGGTAGTAGTAAAACATTTGAAGCCCAAGTTATACTGCAAATGCATATGACTAAATGCACAACCAAAAACTGATATGGTTAAAGACACTTAAAGCAAATAAAAGCTGTCTGGGATCACGTACTAGCTTTTTAAAAACCTTTCTCCCCAGATTGAGTTTGCAAGATGCAGTAAAATGCAAGGGTCACTTTCCTGTTTTTTTTCCCAAAAGTATTTTCCCACATGAAGATGATGAGACGTAGTTGAAATCTCTGGAAAAAGCTTGTAACTAAGTGTTTGACAATACAGGTCACATTCAAACAGTGTTTCCAGGAAGAGCTCCTCTAACAGTCACACACTCACACACTGATCCATGTCGACTGAATTCTGCAAAACAACTGAAAAAGCCGTGCATCAAATCACTAACACTGCAATAAGTGGACGACCTGCTGAATGTTGGCTGTTAGACACTTCCACTCTAACTTGCACAGAATGATAAGATGAATGTAGATATCTTCCATAAAATTGGTTAAATATTGAAAATATCCCATATTTACTCAAAACTGTCTCCATGACAGTTCTGCACAAGGTGTGGCTGAAAGTCCTGAAAGCTATAGTAAGAGGACCTTGGGGTCAAATTTTAAAAATCAAGCGTAGGCATGCAGTGTAGGCATCGCATTGATGCTCTAATCAAAGACAGAAGCAGAGGTTAAGTGAGTGAGCAACATTAAGATTAAGTCAAGGATGCCACACAAGAGACTGTAGTTATAAAAGAATAATGCAATGAAGCAGAGGTACAACTTTTCTATCCTCCTGCAGAAACGCAATAAACCACAAGAGGCCGCAAACAGCCCTTCAGCCTTCTGCTCCTCCTGCAGCTGGATCCCTGACTGCTGGCTGGAATATATGGGCTCAGACAGGACTGCTGTCATAGGGGCACAGTCTGCCTCCAGCCAATTGCAGCAGAGAATCCTGTGTTTGGTTTTAGTGGCGCCATGTTGTGACATATATTGCTCGCTTTGATTGTAGATTACCATACGATGCAACATAAGCACAGATATGTGATGTGATATACAGTTACGTGTATGTTCAAGCACATACCAACACATAAGCCTGACACACACACACACACACACAGACACAAATTTGTTTTATTACTGTTTAAAACATTGATTTACCAATAGGAGTACAAAAATTAAAATTTTAATGCATTAACCAAGTTTTTGTTACCTTGAAATAAACTCACAACAGATCACCTTCTGTGACTTTTGGGAATAAAAGACCTCCTTTCGTTGATTTTGTTGTAAGACCTTCAAAAATAAGTATGTTAAATGTAATTTTCCCGATTCCATATTTAAAACAAAAACATTTACATCATCAAGGAAAGCCTAGTGGATAATCATCTGTCTGTCTTTGTGCTCTTTCATTATTCCTTCATATAATATTTTCCAGTGACTTGACTACATAAATGCATCATCCCACTGTGGTGCAGTGGGTGATCCTGCAGTGATTAGAGCTGATTAGATGAACTGTAGTTCAAGTCAGTGATAGAGTTTCGTTTCTCCACAAAACCTCATTGACCCTCTGTCCTCCATCCATGGCACACATGTATGTTTCATCTAAGCAGCTGTAAATGCAGCACACACTCAAGTATTGATCTGTCTGTCTTTACATTATGCAGAGTGAGGGGCAATGCTCCCCTCCGTAGACTCGTCCTCTGTCAATATTTGGGGAACACATTGCACTGAAATCAAGGTTGAACTTGATTGAGGGACGATAACATGCCCTTTGAATTAATTTTCAACGTTCACCCAGGTACTTGTGAGACTTTGACATCTCAATGTCCATCCTCGTTCAGAGGTGACGTGTTTGCAAGTCCACCACCATCCCTTTCGTTGTTGGTGGGGACTTCTATCAACTTACAAATTGACTCTCATCAATATTTATATGGATCTAGTGCAAAAGGTGTTCATAGTACCTACAGAGGTTCTCATCCCTCAGAGGCTCGTTGGTTTTAAGGCTCATAACTTTATTGTTTTGGTTCTTATGGTTATGTTACCAGTCCAGAGCCAAACTGCAAAGTTAACCAGCTAGAAACTATATGGAGAACTTAAAAAGTGATGACGTGTTGGTGCCGTGTTTACAGTATTTCTTTGTACAATAATGTTTTTGGGCCATTGTGGGTTGAAATTTGTTTATTTTTTTAATAACCGAAACACTTTAAAGGTTCAGTGTGTAGAATTTAGTGACATCTAGTGGTGAAATTGCATGTTGCAGCTGAATACCCCTCACCTCCCCTTCTGAACATGAAACAGAGCCTGTGGTAGCCTTCATTTGTCATAAAAACTCAAAAGGTGTTTAGTTTATCCAGTCTGGGCTTCTGTAAAAAAAATGGCAGCCTCTGTAGTGAGGACCTGCTCCTGATATAGATATAAAGTATTTAAATATAAAGGGCCTTTTCTGGTGTAAAGAAAACAACACTTCAAACCATTTAATGTTCAGTTTCTGTCCATAGAGCCCTTTCACGTAAATCTTACACACTGCACCTTTAAATTCAAAACTCAGAAAGTTCTCAGAAAACGTGGATATTCTCTAAGATCAAAGAGTTAAATTCATGAATAAAAACTTTACATTCCTGTTACGTCCCCTGGCTGGAACCAGGAGTACAGAGGGAGTATTCCAGAGTATGTTGCCATTCATACTGTGTTGTAGGAATAAAAGATTTTGGACCCCCATGTCTGTCTAGTGGACACTGTCTTGTGTTAATGGCTGTGACCATGTGTGATTGAAAACTGTACATCCTACAGTCGACAGGACATGATAAGGCTTCAGACAGTACAATCACAGGGGCACGCTGAGACGGTCTCCTGATAAGTTCCATGTGCAGCACAACCTGCCGCTCGCTTATCATATTTACGCTGCTTCACCTTTTATTGTCCCGTGTTGATAATGATAACACTGATGATACTTTCCTAGAAGTTCCCAGATGAATGATTTTTGAGCAAATGAATGCATGATTTCAATATGTTGACAATGAATACAGTGTACGAAATATTTTGTGATGTTTTATTCAGTGTTTCTGCCATAGTGTAATACTTGGATAGTCATCGAGAGTATCTTGTAGTTAATCAGACTAGAGATGACAACTGTTTAGTTCAGTGCTTACTGCATCATAAATCCATGTTATGTCATATTACAGGTTTTGTTATAAGAGTTGCTCTGGGTACCAGAGAGGATGTTTTTCACATTTGAGTTGAATAAGAAATTTAACTAAATAAGAAAGTTCTTTTGAATTTACAATATTGAATAAGAGGACATTTCTTTGCTTTAGAAGCTGTGAGACTATCATCATACACAACCACAGCCACAGTCTTCAACAAAATGATTTATTAATTTGATTGCTTTTCTGATATGATAACTTTAAATATCTGATACTTGATGCTAATGTCTGTTTCCTAATGGAAAAGTTCTCTGCTT